GATACAGTCCTGACCTCAGTTCAGGTTCATTCTTGGCAGGGCCCAGACTTTTCCCTTTTATATCTGGTGCCACAATCCCAAACGCACCAATCAGAGGCGCAGGTTCAAGCTAAATGGGCCAGTGAGGTTCGAGCTTGCACCAGTGCTAAAGGAACTCCTGGTGTTCAGTGTGAAGCCCAGCCACGGTGAAGATGGGCCAGCGCGAGATTGAGATGGGCTTGAAAATGGGCCAATTTGATAGGAGCTTGACCAGCACCAATCAAACAGCTGGGACTAGACCCTCCCCTCCCGCCTACCCCGTCAGCTCCCCCCCCGCCCCCCTCCCCGTCCCCCCCACCCCAGTTCTCTGTTATGAAGCCCAACCTCAGCCCAGATCAGGCTGGGCACTGACCCACAGTCTCTTGGGAAGCAAGTGACCCTTTGCAAGGCTTTGTGTTTTCATCTGGGTGTGATACTGTGGTTTATAAGAAATACTTTTCTCGTGCATATTTGGTTTTTATCACATTTTCTGGAAATTACTAAGTGTCATGAGTGATAAAGAGGACTTCTGCTATGTGAATGAAGGCAATTTGGAGAAAACACCTGAGGATGGGCTTTGGTTGCCAGGGAAACCGGCTGACTACAGGATGGAATTTTCAGTCCCACCCCTGACTTCTGGGAGGGAAGAGGGGTGAAAAGTGGAGTTAATTTGCCAATGACCGATGATCTAATCACCCACGCCTATGTGAGGAAGCCATCATAAAAGCCCAAGAGGGAGGGGTCTCAGAGCCTCTAGAAGATTTGGGTGAGAATGGTGTGCCAGGAGAGGGCATGGAAGGGTCACACCTCCCCTGTGTATCTCTCCTGCCTGGTATATCTTTGATTTGTATCTTTCAGTATCCTTTGCAATAAGCTAGTTATCTAGCGAGTACATGGGTTTCCTGAGTTGTGTGCCGTTCTAGCAGACTAAGCAAACCTGGGGTGAGTCTTCTGAATCGCTGATTTATAGAGGGTTAGTTAGAAGCACAGATAATGTAGGTGAGGAAGGAAGAAAGGAAGGAGATTAAACAAATGTGGTGAGATGTTAGAGAAATCTTGATAAGAGTATGGAGCTTTTAATAATATAACAGCTTTCTGCCTCTGAGATAATCTCAAAATAAAAATAAAAACAAAGAAATAAGCCAAAATAAATCAAGTTGCTTGGGGCCTCTGTGTCCAACCCAGAACTCTTTGAAACTGATGACCAGGGACTGGACAGAGAAGAGGGGTCAGAGAGAGTGAAGACTTTAAAAGGAGAGCACATGCTTTGGCGTTGTATGGAATTAAGCCCAGGTCCTGAAGATGCGACCACCCCATTCACCTGCCAGTAAGTCAGGGCAGGGTTTTGTTGGTCTGCTAGTTTCATTATTGCACCCTGACTTTTGTGTGGTAGTTTGACTGGGTATAGAATTTTCAGTTCCCGGTATTTACCCCGTCATGCTCCTTGAACAGGGTCCCATTGTCCGGCATCTGGTCTACTCATCAAAAACTCTGCTCTCCCACTGCTGATCCTCTGTAGGGAAGTTGTCTTTTTCCCTCTGGAAGCTTTTGAGGGTTTGCTCTTACTCCTTAATGACTTGGGACTCTGTTGGGTAAATGAGGTTATCAGGCTTTTTTATGCCCTCCCACCACCAGCCTCTGACCAGCACGCTCGTGATTGTGGATGCCTGGGCCAGGAGCAGGGGCCTGCGCCTGTGTAGACGTGCACACCCAGGCCTAGAAGGGAGGGATAAAAGGGCGGTGCCACTCTGGGGGCAGGGGCTCAGTTGCTGTCTCCCTGCTGGCTGGTTTCCCTTGTTCACCCTTAGAAACCTGTGAAGATGATGCTGAGGGATCCGAAGTGCTCTTTAAGGCTGCTAGAGCCCACAGCGACCCTACCTGGCCTGGGTTGGTTGCACAACACACTTCACACAGTAAATTTCAGTGGGGGTTTAAGAAATCCATTTGGTTTGGCTACAGCAGGTTTCTTGAATCTGGAGTTCTCATGGATTCCTTAAACTCTAGAAATGTTTCAGCAGTCAGTCAGTTAATTAGTGATGGGTTGTAATGCATTCATTCATTCATTCATTTATACATTCTGCGGGTTTCAAAAATGTGTGGTGACGTATCTATTACTATAGTACATACAGAATAGTTTCTTTGTCCTAAGGATCCTCTGTGCTCCACCTGTTCCTCTTTCCTCTCCCACCCCCGGCAATCACTGATCTTTTTAATATCACCATAGTTTTCCCTTTTTCAGAAAATTTTAGAGTTGTAATTATCCGTTATTTAGTCTTTTCAAATTGACTTCTCTCACTTAGTAATATGCCTTTGTTTCCTCCATATCTCTTCAGAGTTTGACAGCTCATTGTTATTTTTTAAGATTTATTTTTATTTATTATGCATACAAGAACTGGAGTGTAGACCAGAGGTGTGGGGTGTGAGAGGACTCACCAGAGGCAGGTTGGGGAGCAGAACAGGCGGATCTACTGATATACACTGCTGAGGAGAGCAGCAGGGAGACAGGAGAGGTCTGCTGCGCCATGTGGGTCAGCTCCCTGGCCGGGGGTCGACTTCATGCTGCAGTGGTTGTGGACGACTTCATAGTGCTGAGACTTAACCCCTTGCACCACCAGGGAGGCCCTCTTGTCTATGCTTTTGCCATTCTCACACACCTGTGGTACAAGTGTAACTGTGTAGTCAGTCTTGAAGTTGGGTGGTCTCAGTCCCCTGACTTTGCTCTTCTCTTTCAATGTCACGTGGGCTATTTTGTGTTGTCTGCTGCTTCATGGAACCTGTAGAATCATTTTTGTCAACATCCACAAAATAACTTGCTGGGACTGACTAGAGTTGCATTGGCCCTGTAGATCAAGGAGGGAAATGACATTTTGACGATATTGAATCTTCCTTCCTATCCATGAAATGGGCTAGTTCTCCATTTATTGGGTTATTCTTTGATTTCTTTTTTGTTATTTTGCTGATATAGTTTATACATTTTTTAAGTCTAAACGAAAATACTTAATTTTTGTGCTAATGTAAATGGTATTGTGTTAATTTCAGTCTTATTTTTTTATTGCTTATATATAAGAAAATGATTGACCTCCGTATACTTGTCACATTGCTATTATTAGTTCCAGGAGGGTTATGGGCGTGTGTAAATTCTTTTGTATCTTTTACATCGATGATCACATAATCTGTGAACAATGCGTTTTATTTCTTCTTGATTTATTATGTTCCTTTTATTTCATTTGCTTTTCTTTCCTAGTACAATGTTGAAAGGCAACATCCTTGCCTTGTTCCTGATATTGGCAGAAAAGCTTTGAGTCTCTTACCGTTAAATATGACACTAGTTGTAGGGATTTCCTATCAAATTGAGAAAGTTTCCCTCTATTTCTAATTTATTGGCTTTTCACATTTTTTTTACATTCTGGTAAAATACACATAACAGGGCCTCCCTCGTGGCACAGAGGTTAAAGTCTCAGTGCTATCAAGCTATTGCCAGCCAGCCAGCCGCCGCGGCATGAATTCGGTCCCTGCCAGGGAGGTGACCCACATGGCGCAGCAGACCTCTCCTGTGTCCCGATACTCCCCTCAGCAGTGTATTTCAGTAGATCTGCCTGTTCTTTTTTTTTTTTTTTAAAGATTTTATTTATTCATACAAGCACTGGGGTACAGGCCAGAGGTGTCGGGAGTTAGAGGATTCACCAGAGAGAGTGGGGAGCAGAACAGGCAGAAGCACCGAAATACACTGCTGAGGGGAGCAGTGGGCGAGACAGGAGAGGTCTGCTGCGCCATGTAGGAATCTCCCTGGTCGGCTGGGAATCAAACCGGCACTGCAGAGGCTGCAGACAGCTGCACAGTGCAGCACTCAACCCGCTATGCCCTGAGGAGCACCTTTTTTTTTTTTTTAAAGATTTATTTATTTATGCATGTAAATACTGGGGTACAGGCCAGAGGTGGAGGGGGGGTGGTGGTGAAAGGATTCACCAGAGACAGAGTGGGGAACAGAACAGGCAGATTCACTGAATTACACTGCTGAGGGGAGCAGCGGGCAAGTCAGGAGAGGTCTGCTGCGCCCTGTGGGTCACCTTCCTGGCCGGGGATTGAACTTGTGCTGCAGTGGCTGCGGGTAGCTTCATAATCCTGTGTCTTAACCCCTTGCGCCACCCGGGAGGCCCAGATCCTCCTGTTCTGCTCCCCGTCTGTCTCTGGTGAATCCTCGAATCCCCTGCACCTCTGACCTACCCCCCAGCTCTTGTATGCATAAATAAATAAAAAATAAATCTTAAAAAAAATAACATAACGTAATAATTACCATCTTAACTATTTTTAATTGTGTAGTTCGAGAGGGTTAGTATAATCACCTTATTGTGTAACCGATCTCTAGAACTCTTTTCATCTTATAAAATTGAAACTCTAAACCCTTTAAATAACTCCCCCTTCCTCCTTCCTCCCACCTCTGACAACCACTGTTCTACATTCTACCTCCATGGATTTGCCACTTTTAGACACCTTATATAAGTGGAATCATACTGTATTTGTCTTTTCATGTTTGGCTTATTGCACTCAGCCTCATGTCGTCAAAGTTTATCTACATAACATGTGTCAGAATTTCCTTCCTTTTTAACACTGAGTAATATTGCATTGTATTTTTCCAAGGTTTAAAAATTCCATTCCTGTGACTTGCCTGTTTATATCCTGCTGGCTCCGTTTCTGTTGGGGGCTCTTTTTCTCAATGATTTTCAGGAATTCTTCATTAGGGTCAGTTGTGGATAGTCCTGCCTGCGCTCTCGATGTTTACTGTCTTTGAGAGACTCACCTGTGGCCCCTCACCTGTGATTGCCTGGGAATGGCCCCAACTCCCAGTTAGAGCCGAGCTCTCATTAGCCGGAAACTCAGGCCCTGGCTGCCTGATCAGGTCACAGACAGTACGTGATCCGGCTGGTGACGCTTGGGAAGTGTTCCCTGGGCCTTTTAGGAACGTTTTCTCTTTCCTGGCATAGGGGAGGAAGACTGAATCCTGGAACCAGTGCAGCCACCATTCTTTCAGGACTGGTTCTGCCTCAGGGCATGGGCCTCACCCACAGAAAGAAGCCAAGAACACAGAGAAAGTCGGAACCTGGATGTTGTGAGCCCCTGGAGCAAACCATTCTTGAGGCTGGATCTGCCTCTGAATTTTACAGTTATGGGAGTCAATAAAACCTTTTCAAATGCACATATTTTTTGGGGGGTAAGTGTAGCACCCATGATTGTGGACAGGTGGGCCCGGAGAGTGCGGCGTGTGCGTGTGTAAGTGCTCACACCTGGGCAAGAGGTGTGGGCTGAAAGGGAGGCGTCTCTCTGAGGCGAGATGATGAGAGGACGCGAGACTGAGGGCGAGAACGCCAGAGAGAAAGCAGGTCTGTCCCGATGCAGCACTAGAGGCCTGCAAAATCCACCGACAGCGCCGAAATTCTCTTTTCATCCGTGAGAACGAACGAGGATGGCGGCACGTCAGTAAGTTTCCCGTCTCTTGCAACCAAAAACTTCCCGACTCCTGCAGTCAGTCGCCTGTCGTCTTGCTGAGCTCCTCCAACTGGTAAGTTTTTGCTTTCTGGTTTGAGCTTTTGTTTAAATTCACTGCCTTAACGTCAGACTGATAGTTTTCTAGAATTTTAGTAACTTAGAGCTTTTATTCTTTTAAATCAAAGTTAAATTGACGAATCCGTCCAACTGTCCCTTAAGGCTTGTTATGAAAAATCGCTCTGTTCGCGTCTCTTCTGTTCTGGCCTCAGCCTTCCCTGCGGCGGGGTCTGTTGTGGTTTTGGGTTCTGTTTTGCTAGGGTTAGTGATGTTGGTTGCTTTCCATGCACTGTTGGCTTCTTGTATATATTCTTCCGAGAAAGGTGGAGCCAAGTCTTTTGTCCTTTTTTTCGTTGTTGGTTGTCGAGTTCTAGTTCTTTGTCTATTCTGGGTAGATGGCCCTTTCAGGGACAAGGTTTGCCAATAGTGTCCCCATTCTATGGATTAGCTTTTTCCTATTTGTAGGTCACCTTTCTGCAGCTCACTTTTAAATTGTATTTGTCAATAAGTATCTATTACCCCATCTCACCACCCCAGAAGCTACGACAGTCAGTCATTTATATCTACCTGGAGCCCGTCACCTGCCTCCCGGTATCACTGTTCTGAATTTCGTGTTTATCTTTTCTTTATTAAGTCGTTCTGCTAAGCATTCATGCCTAAACAATTCATTTTGGGTTGTTTTTGAACTTTATAAAATGGTCGACAAGCTATATGCACCTGAACGGCTTTCTGCAGTTTGTGCCAATTTATACTCCGCCCGATACTTGGGAGGTTTTTAGTGATTCCTGTCTTCTCCAACACTTGCTTTGTCCAACTTTTTTAAAAAAAGATTTTATTTTATTTATACAAGCACTGGGTACAGTCAGAAGCGTGGGAGGGTGAGAGAATTCACCAGAGCGGGGAACAGAACAGGCAGACTGACGAAATACACTGCTGAGGGGAGCAGCGGGCGCAGCAGGAGAGGTCTGTCGCGCCATGTGGGACCCTCACTGGCAGCCGGGGATCGAACCGGTGCTGCAGAGGCTGTGGGCAGCGCTCAACCACTGCGCCACCAGGGTAGGCCCGCTTTGTCCAGTTTTTTAACGCTGGCCAACTGATGGATGTGAAATGGTGTCTCATAGTCTTGCTTTGAATTTCCCTGATTATGTCTTCATACATTTATTGGCTTCTTTTTTGTAAATGTTCATTGTGTATTTTGCTCTTTTTTTTTAGGCTGGCTGTTTTTCTTGCTGATCCGTAGACGCACTAGTGACACTTAGAAGTGCCTTCAGGGGTAAAGAGATGCTTTTGCACCACCAGCTATTATTAAATCCACCTCCTGGGGTTACACTGGTGCCAGGCCCAGGGTCCCTGCAAACTTCACCAACAGGGGGTGCCGTCACGCCATGTACCCACCCGCTCAGGACAGCCAGCCCGAGTAGCTTGGACTCGCATTTTGCTTTCCCTGAGCGAGGCCAGGCATCCTTTCATTTGCTTCAAGGCGGTTGGTGTTGTTCTCCTGCGGGCCAACCACCTGTTGCACATTCACCTTCCCACCTCCTCCCGGCATCTCTCCTGCTGTAATATCCCCTTATCCCACCGTCGTCCTTCTGACATCTCACCCTCCTCAGGCTCTAGTCCCGGCTCTCACCCGACTCCTCTCCCGCAGCTCTTTGCCTCCCCCGCCCCTTTCTTTCCTGCTTTCTCACTCTCGTGCCATCTTTTCTCCTCTGCAGCTGCTGCTCCCGTGCCTGCTGCCTGTCTCCAGCACCGTCCTCTCACCTCTGTTCTCTCCCTCCTGTTCCCTCTGTCACAAAAGGTGAGCCTCCCCCTTGTGGGTCTGCCCAGTGTGGACGCTGTCCTCTCGCTTCTCCACCCCCTTAATCCTTTTCCTCCTCCGTCTCGCTGCTGCTGCTCAGAACTGCCGCTCTTGGGCTGTTTTCTCTCTCTCCTTCCCCGCCCCCTTCTCTCTCCCGCGTCCTCTGTTATCTTCTCTTTTCCAAGACTCTTCCTCTCTGACTGCTTCTGGGTGTGGGGACTGGTCATCTGAGCTTATGAGGGGCCCTTCCCGCAGCTCCCAAGGAGACTGTGATCTCATTGAGGTCGACCCTGGGAAGCTTACAGGGCCCCGTTTCACTGTCTCCGGGGTGGGGCCTGCTGGCCTTGCTCGAGGGAGAGGCACGAATCTCCCTCCGCCTCTGCTTGGCCTCTGGCCTGTGTGACCTTGGGCCTGGGACTCCATCTGTCTGAACCCAGCACCTTCTCCCCGTAAGCTGCATCGGGAAGTACCTGGCCAAGGGCAGCTGGGGCGGGGGGAGGAGGCAGGCTGAGGCCTGGGCTGGACACAGGCACCGCTGGGTCCCCAGGAGTGGGCACATGTCTCAGGGTGCCAGTGAGTGCCCCATCACTGGGGTCTGTAAGCAGAGTCCTGGCTCCCGGCGGGCCCGTGGGGATGGACAAGGAGCTGTTGCAGGATGCAAAAGCTCAGGCAGAAAATTTGGCTCCATTCAAGTTTTATTGGACCCCTTTCAGCCCAGGGCTCCTCAGTCCCCAGGCTGGAGCCCGGATGCAGTTCCATTGGGTTCTAGCATCTTGCTGTGGGCCCCAGATTCTGTCTAGTGCCCAAGGGAAAGAGGAACGGGGGGCAGAAGGAAGGGGCTGGAGACAGATCATCAGCCCTCACCCCCACCTGGGGTGGGGCCTTCCCTGCTTCTGCGGGGCTAACCCAAGGGTCGCGTGTCCAGTCGCACTGCCTGTCCGGGCTGTCGGACTCTGCTGCCCCAGGCCCTGTCCTCGTCAGGTCACATGGCCGACGTGTGCCCATTGGCCAGCCGCCCAACTGTGCGGCTCCGAGGGCCATCCGCGGAGGTTTCCCTGGGCCCGTGGGCTGCCCCGTTCTTTAGCGGTGGATCCTCCTTGTCTGTCTCCCCGTCGCTGGAGTCTGGCTCCTCCACGTCGCTTCGAACATCCTTCTCCATCTGGGGAGCGAGGGAGGGAGTGGGAGGGGGGCAGAGCTCAGAGCCGGAGGAGGACTGAGGCGCGAGGTGGGTACAGGGGGGGCTCCAGGGAGGGTCACACAAGCCGGCCCTCACTGTCATACCTGGCCCTGGTTGGTGAAGCTGAAGAGCATGCGGACGATGAGGTAGGACCAGAACACGTGCAGCAGCTGCAGCAGCATCAGGAGCGCATTGAAGAAGTAATAGCCGAAGAACGGGCGGGCCTGGATGACGGTGATGGACTCATAGAGCGTCGTGTAGAGGATCCTGGGGGGCGGGGGTGGGGCGCAGGGCTTCACCAGCGGCTTAGCCCCTGTCCCTGCAATCTCTACCCTATGATACCTTCCCTGTTCCAGAGGCTTCTGTGGCTCCCTCTACCCCTAGGATGACACCTACCTTCTCAGCTGGCATTTGAGAGCCCCTCACCTGGGTGTATTAAATCAGTAGAAAGCAAAAGTTCGCAGACTGGCTGCTCGTGACCATTTGGCAGCTCAGCTGTTCCCCTGGGTGGTCCTCTCATCCTTGTCCCCTCAGATCACCAGCAACCCCGCCCCCAGCAGGTGGCTGCTCACTGCCCGTGCAGCTGGAGAGAACGTCCTGGGCCACTCACCACCTGGGCATCCTTCCCCCTCCGCTGGCCCTGGACGTACTGTTCTTGATCCCGCCCTGGCTACAACTTTCCCCTCAAGAACATGGCCCCTGCTCCCTTCACCCCCCCTCCTGCAGGCTCTGCCACCAGTGCCAACCCTGCTGTGAACACAGGAGGCAGGAAAGCAAAGGCCAGAACCAAAAAAGCTCTCGTGACCCCACTTTGCCCCTCTGGCTACTGCCTCGTTTCCTCTGCCTTGAACCCCCTTGAAAGAACAGGCTCCACCTCTCCCCCTGTCAAGCTTCCCCCCACCCCACACAGCCTGGTCATGGGGTCACCCGTGACCCACTTTGCTCAGGCAGTAGACGCTTAGCTCCTCTTCGAGGTCCTTTCCTTGTGCCTTCAGAGGCCCTTCTCTCCCTGTCTCTGCAGCCCCTCACCCTGCAAACGTTGGGGCCCCTCTGGCCTCTGTCCGCGCCTGGTGCTCAGGTGACCTGTCCTGCCATAGCCGCAAATACTGGACATGGACATCTCTCCCGAGAAATTCAGGCTGGCGTGCCTGCTGCATCCCCCGACTTTTCTGAAGGGCCCCTCAAATCTAGCAGAGCCAGAACTGGGCTCCCTGATTCTCAAGCAGCAACTCTGAGCTCATTCCAGCTCCTGGCCCTGAAGTCATCCCCGGTCCCCAGCCTGGTCCCTGCCGGCCCGGCCCGGCCCGGCCGTCAAGGCGCTGCTCTTCGCAAGCCGAGCACGTAGCTGTTCCCGCCGCGGCCACCAGAGGGCGCCTGTGGGCACCCGGGTCAGGTGCTGCCCCGGGGCCTCGGAACCCGCCGCGGCTCGGGTCTCAGTTTTGATAAAAGCCCAAGGCCGCGCCACGGCCCACACAGCCTGGCAAGGCCGCCCATCGCCCCCGCCCTGCCATCACCCCCCGCCCCAGCCCTCACTCTGCGTCAGCCGCCCGGCCTCCCGCTGCTCCCCTCCGCGGGGCCGTCTGGCGCGGGCCCGGCAGCCTCCGCGGACGCGGCCCGGCCTGCCCCGGCCACCCCGTGGGACTCCGGCTCCCGCCTGCCCTGGGCCCCGGCGCCTTCCTCGGCCCTCCCCGCGGGCGCCCGTCGGGGCGAGGCCGCCCCCGCCCCCCCCGCGCCCCGGGGCGGCTCACTGGGTGGGGAAGAGCACGAGGCGCGTGTAGATGAAGACCAGGGCGAAGAGCAGGAAGAGCGCGTCGCACACCTTCCGCGACTCCGTGTAGTTGAACATCTTGCAGGCCTGGGGGCGAGAGGGAGGTGGCCCCGGGCCCGCGGGGGGGGGCGCTGCGTGGGGCCAGGTGGGACGGGGCGGGGCCTTCGCGAGGAGAAAGCACCGCGGGGCCGGGCAGGTGAGTGGGGGTGGGGCGTGGGGCGCGCATTCCCCGGAACTTCGAGAGAAGTGAGAAGTGCGTAGGGGGGGGATAGTCTCTCAGCGCGCCAAGACGAAGTGGGGCCCAGTCTAGCAAGGCTGGGGGGCGGGGCCTCGTTCCCAGGTAAGCCGAAAGGGGCGGGGCCTCCGGGAGGGCGGGGCGGGGCCTCCGGGAGGGCGGGGCGGGGCCTCCGGGAGGGCGGGGCGGGGCCTCCGGGAGGGCGGGGCGGGGCCTCCGGGAGGGCGGGGCGGGGCCTCCGGGAGGGCGGGGCGGGGCCTCCGGGAGGGCGGGGCGGGGCCTCCGGGAGGGCGGGGCGGGGCCTCCGGGAGGGCGGGGCGGGGCCTCCGGGAGGGCGGGGCGGGGCCGGGCGGCGCACCTCCAGCAGGTAGTCTGCGCAGTCGTGCAGCAGCAGCACCAGAGAGCCGATGCGCAGCAGGTTGGCGCTGTAGGAGAAGGTGACCAAGGTGATGGTCACGAAGTGGTGCACCACCTGTTCCTTGAAATCCTGCGGGAGACGGCACGTCACAGCCGGGACTAGGCTGGGCGGCCAGAGGCCCCACCGCGCGGGCGGAAGCGGGCCCTCTGAGGCCGTGGTGTCTGGACCCGGTGGACTCCGTGCCTCCTGCCTGGGGTGGATCTTAGGGTGAGGGCGAGGCTGCCCCTCCCCCACCAGCGATGGGCATCACTTTCCCACCAGACTCTCGGGGTGGCCTCACCTTCCGCTTGATGTCGAAAGGCAGCGTGAGCAGCAGCGAGATGTAGAAACTCAGCTCCAGGAGGTACCAGTAGTACAGGGCTGGCTTCAGGGGCTGTGGCAGGGCGGGGTGAGGTTAGCTGTGGGGGGTGGAGGCCCCGCGGGGCGGGATTCAGGGCCCTCCCCACTGACTCAAAACAGGACACTTGGATCCCAGTGAGTGAGGAGCTGAGTTCCCCGTCCCTGGAGGTAATCAAGGACAGTAGTTTCGTGGCCGCTCCTGCTCTGGTTTCTTGCCTCCTGGCCCCTCTCTACTCCGTGGGGAAGGTACAAATAGAGTGGGGGACTCCCATGCGACGTCCAGGTTTCGCTCTCCAGCTGTGGCTTCAGGAACTCTGACCGCCCCGCCCTCCGAGTTGAGCCCCCCCCCACTACTCACCTGTTTGGGGTAATTGTCCCAACACCTTACTGGAGTCCACAGCCATGATTCCTGTGGGGGAAATGGGAGTCTGAGGCTGCCCGAAAGCCCAGCCCCCATCTGGGTATGGGGCCTCCTTCACTGCAGCACCCCAGCTCCGGGAGTGTGACAGGCACCCACTGAGCATGACCAAGCCGAGCAGGGGTGCCTGCGACATCGGCGTAGAGGGGCAGGTGCAGGGCAGGGGTGCAGACGGCACACTCACGTGGTAGAGGACGGAGAGGCCGCCACCGAAGGAGCACAGGTAGAAGACGAACCTCCAGCTGCAGGGAAGGAGCCGGGAGCAGCTGAGGCAATAGCAGCCCCCTGAGCCCCTAGTCACCCGGTCACCCTTTCCCAGTCCCGCCTGCGCCTACCTGGCCTCACAGAACTTCTTGGTCAGGCTGGGCCGGTTCTGGTTCCGGCGTCTGCGGAACCAGTGTTGGATCTGTCGCAGTGTGAGGCCACACTGGGCAGCGAGGAGGGCCATCTGCGGCTGGGGAGGGACAGGCCAGAGTCGTGGGGCGCCTCCCCACCCCTGCTCCGGACGGGTGGACCTAGCCCTGCTCTCCTTTCCCCACAGCCCCGGAGCCCACTGTCAGGTCGCCAAGTCTAATGATGGAGATGGAGAAGTTGGGGGCCATGGGCGGGGCCCCGCCAAATAGCTGGGCCTATGAGAACTCAGCCTGCTCGCAAGACAGGCAAGTGGCTGATGGGGGCAGCTCCACATGGGAGTTTCCCTGAACCCCTTCCAGAATGGTTTTACCTCCACCACGGGCAGGCAGTTGAAACCTCGCCCCCTACTCCTGCAAGGACAAGGGGAGAGGGGACCAGAAGACTCCCCTGTAGAAGCTGCCCTTGCCCTCCCCATCCGATGGCTCGTTGGCTTCCACCTTTCCCCCTCAGGACGCAGTCCAGGGCTGTCTCTGCCCCGCCCCCACTGCACCCTGGAATTGTCAGGCACTCCCCCCAGAATAGGAGAGCAACCTCCCCCAGCCCAGCCCCAGGGGATGCTCGCTGGGCAGCTGAGCCCAGTGATAGGGTCCCAGTGGCGTGGGGGCCCTACAGGCCACCCTGAGCTTCCCCTGTCCCCAGCAACTAGGCCCATCCACAGGTGGCCGTGCTGGCCGATGTGGAGGTGGTTGTGGTGGGGGGGGGAACTCTCACCTCTTTGGGCCTCTGGCTTTCCCTGAGGAAGTATTTTTCCAGGGTTGCATTGGGCTTCATGGGCCTCCGGGCCTGATCCCGCACGCCCATCCACCGGCTCAGGGGCAGGGCGATGCATCTGGGTGCAGAAGGCAGAGCTGTCAGCCCAGGTGAGGCGGGGAGAGCAGGCTACCGTGCGGAAACTGAGGCTCAGAGGGGTGTAGGCTGGCTGCCGCCCTGGATCAAACCAAACTGGACTGGCCTGGCGCTGGGTGTGAAGGTCACCTCTTGGGGTACCCAAGTACCTTCACTTGACCCAGTCCCAAGCCAGAGAAAACAGCCCCTGGCTGCCTTCCTGGCGGTGGCCTGGGTCCTGGTCAGCCCCCACCAGGCTGGGGCTCCTGCTCAGCATCCGCCCACGGGGTGAACACCTGGAGGAGCTGGGGCCCTGGACAATCACCCCACTCCCCACAATGGGGGACCCAGGGCCAGGGGCCTGGCCCAGTGTTCATATCCACCAGCCAAAATCGCCCTCCCTTTGGGATGCCAAGGCTCAGAGCAGCAGCCACGGCGGGCGGGGAGGGCGGAGAGCAGGGACGGTCACTCGTGAGTGCTTCCACGCGCCACGCACGGGCCGCGGCCTCACTGCTCCGTGGCCCCCTTAACCCCTTTGTCTGCGTCCTCATCGTCCAGACGGGCAAACTGCCAGGACACAGTGAGTGAGTGACCGGCCACCTGGAATGTGGACCCAGGATTCACTTTCCCTCAGCATGGGGCAGCTTCTGCCTCTGTCCAGGGAATAGCGGCCTCCACTCCCGCTGCACCAGGGCAGGCGCCCTTGGGACCGAGGAAGCCCCCACCTCAGAAGGAAGCCAGCAGCTGAATCTGTGCAGACGCCTCTCGGGGCGGGGTTTCCGGTGTGGCCTGGCATACCACCACCCCACGCCTCACCCCGCCTGGGAGCAGACCCTGGAGGCCTGGGAGCAGACCCTGGAGGCCTGGGTGAACTCAGTCTCCCAGGATCCCTCAGGCAAAGCCTCAGGCCCAGCTAGCTAACCTGCTGGCTGTGTGACCTCAGGCAGGTCACTTGGCCTCTCTGTGCCTCAACTTCCTGTTCTCTGAAAAGGGGAGTGTGTCACCCTGTCATGGGTTTGCATGGACAGCACAGTGCGTTAAGGCTGCTTGGAATAGTGGCTGCATGTGGTCAGTGCTTAAAGGGTGTCTGTGAAATCAATCAAGGCCACAGGACATCCCCTGGGGAGCCCGGGAGGTGCCTGGAGAGTGGAGAGAAAACAAGCTGCAGAACACACCGTGTCCCTGCAGCCAGGGCGGGGCTGGGAGGGAGCCGCAGTAGGCAGTGGAGGATGGATTTCTGCCAGGAGGAGCAAGACAGGCTTCCTGGACCCTAGTTGGGAAGGAGCTGTAGAGGCAGGGTGCCGAGGCCATGCAGCCGCAAAGAGGGGGTACACTTGAAATCAGGTGTCAGGAGTAGAGGGGGAGGGGCTCTTGGACATAGAAGGTAAACCTGGGGTCAGGTCAGGGGCCTGCCCAGGTAGGTCTGGCAGCTGTGGCCACAGCACTGGTCATATGGGAGAGGACAGGACCAGCTGGGGCGGGGAGGAGAGGCCTGGAACCAGACACCCAGGAAGGCAGAGGGACCCCTGTCTGGAGCAGCATCTGGGTTAGGAGAGAAATGATGAGAAATCCAGGGAGTGCCACCAGGAGGGTACGGCGAACCCAGACAGGTGGCACACCTAGGGTGGGGCCCCAGCTGCCGGAGGTCAGGGTTGACTGGGGGGGCGGGGCATCGGGGGTCCCTGTGCTTCTTCCTTTAGCTACAGAGGGGAGGAAGGAGGGGACATGATAGAAGGAATCAAGAGGGGGTGATGGGGTGAGGGAGATGCAGTGGGGGCGCAGCAGGGGCTTTCCCTGGGGGCAGAGGGCGGAGGCACACGCGGGCGTTTCTTCACTGTCCGGCCCCTGCAGGCTCCCAGCAAGCGGGCACCTACCCCCCGAGGCATCGGCTCCCACAGTCTTCTGAAGATGCTGACACACCCAGACCCAGGTGCAGCCAGTGGCCAGTAAACCAGTCAGAAGAGTGGGTGGTGGCAGCGGGGGGCAGGACGGAGTCAGAAAAAGCACTTTACTTGAAAGCCTGGCCCCCAGGCCCCCGCGGGACACCAGGGTAACCAAGGACGCAGGCGGCGGTCGGCACACCCAGCCCGGCGGTACTCACCTCTCGAAGGCGAAGCGCAGGACCACCATGGCCAGCGCCAGGGGCAGGGCGGCCAGTAAGTCCCGGGGGTGGGCGTAGACCAGGCCATCCCGGTCCTCAAGGTCAGCCCACGAGTTGTTGGCTGGCAACCAGAACCTGTCCTGCCACAGCCACTGGGTCAGGCTGGACCACATCCTGTGGACACACGCGCCGTGAGTGGAGCGCGCAGCAGGGCGGGGGCTGGGGGCTGGGGGGGCTGAGCCGCGGGGGCAGTGCGGGAAGGGACCCCGCCTGGTCAAGGGCAGCCTTTCGGCCTTGGAAGGGCAGGTTTTGTCTATTACCCCCAACGTCATGCCCCCTCCAGCACGAGGCAACCTCTGTCTTATTCCATTGTCAGGATGGACTTGGGCTGTGTGTCCCCAGGCAAGTGACCTGACCTCAAGTTCATCTGTCAAGCAGGGACAGCAATGCCCGCCTCTCATCCCAGCCCGGGGCGCAACAGCACAGTTCATCACAGTCACTCTACATGGTTGTGGGATTAATGCCTGAGAGGTAAGGGAGTGGGTGACTGGGGTCGCTTCTTGTCATGGTAGGATGCTGCCTCTGAAGCAGCCCAAAGCTGAAGGGTTTATTTTTTTTACACGCACAACATTTTTTATTGTATTATATATATTACATCATTATTCATTTTTAAGCAATATTTGCTTCCCCCGACCCCTCAGGTTTAGTCCCCATAGAACAAAGCCAAAGGATATAAGGAAATCCATGGTTCCTTCCCTGGCTGTGTCCCACAGGCGCCCCTTGAGGTGTGCAGGTCACGATCTGGCTCACTATTCCAGAGCCCAGGGGCTGCACTGTCGCTGGGCAGGACAGCCCACCGCACGACAGATGGGGCCTGCTGGACACTGGAGCAGCCGCCAAGGGAACAGCCCCAACCCGCAGAACCCAGATATCTAGGGAGCCCAGAGAGCTTCTCTCTTTCCAGAGATATTAAGCCAAGTTCTCACACCCCTGCATTAGTCTCCACTTGGGATGTTTATCCATCCACCCTCCAGCCTCCCTCTCACTTGTCCATCTACCCATCCATCCATCCATCCACCTGCCCGTTCATCTGCCCTTCTGCCTTTCATCTTTCTGGAAATAAGCAGCAGGTGCAAAGGCCCTGAGGCAGGACCAATTTTTGAATGTGGCAAGATCAGTAAGCAAGGTGGTGCAGCGGGAGCAGAGGGAGACGGGGGGAGGGCGGGTTATGCGGGCCCTGGGGAGGAACCTGGGTTATTTTTTCCACTTTGTATGATGAAAGATTTCAAACTTATAGAAAGTTGACAGAACCTACGGTGAACACGTATATACCCACCACCATTCCCATTTCCTCCCATTTGGTCTTGTGCATCAATTCATCCCTTGCTCACGCAGTAATCCTCCCTATTTTACTGAACGTGCTTCAAAATCAGCAGCAGGCATCACACATCACCCCTAAATATTTCAGCATGCCAATCATTAAGGTTCAATATTTGCTTATTGGTTTTTTCCCTTTCAAGGTAAAATTTACTAGTGCAAAATGCATGAATCTCAAGTGTTCGTTTTTTTTTTTTTTGACAAATGTGTAACCAACCTCCTACCACCAACACTCCTGTTCCTCTACAAAGGCCCCGACACCCCTTTCACTGCATCTCTCGGGTCCAAAGTTACGCTCCTCCAGTGTTCAACCGTGAAGCCCTGAGCCTCCTCCTTGTGGGTTTTCCTGGAGGCCTGGTTACATAAGCACAGCAGACCCGCTGGCCGCTGACACCTGCCCTCAGCCTCCAGTCCCCTGCCTCGCCCTCCCAGGCCGGGGTCCACACTGCAGTCCAGCCTCTCAGCACAGGGCTGGGCCCAGGGCCAAAACCCACGCATCAGCATAACAAAAGACGCTCCCCGTGGCTCTCTTCACTTAGGAAATGCAAAGATTTTAAAAGTCCAGTGCCAGCCAGGAACGTGCCAGCCAGGAAGGGCGAAGACCAAGTACATCTTATAAGTGACGCTCTCACGAGTCAGATACAGAAAATAAGAGTCCTGAGTCTGAGTGAGTAGCTGAGCCAGAACCCTGAGGGGGTGTCAGGGCAGGAGCTGGGGTGACTGCTGGACAGACAGCAGGGGGCAGCCTCAGCTACCCCACAGACATGGGGGAGGCGGGGGCTCCCCAGTCACAGCCTGGGGTGGGGTTGGGGATGCCCACAGAACTGTCCAGCATCAGCATGTGGCTGATGTTATCCACGGAACGTATGGAAGCCCCCAGGGAAGGGGCAGACGCGGGAGTAGCCAGGACCTGCGGGAGGAGGCCCAGCATCTGGGCATCTGGGCAGCCACTGGCACGGCTGGCAGCTTCGCCCTTGGACTCTGAGTAAAGGGCAACAGCCTGTGATCGCGGAGCGAGCAGACAGAGGCTGTCCACAGGGCAGAGGCACGTGCCCAGCTGACATTCCTGGCCCCACCCACACACAGCCTTCCAGCCAGAGTGGTGCCCTCAGAAGGATGGCTCCAGCCTCCTCCTCAGGGCCTCCCCTCACAGACCCCACCCCGGTGTGGATGGGAGTGGGCCGCCACCCTGGGGACGCCCCCAGTCATCCTGAGCTGCGGTCAGAACCCAGAGTCCAGGTCCCCAGCCCCATGTTCTCGCCGCCACTCAAGAGTGACCAGACTGGGTCCAGCGCAGCCCCAGTGCTCGTGAGGGGAGGGCGAACACGGCGGAACGCCATCCTGTCGTCCTAGGTTGCGGCCTAAATCCTCCGTCTCAAAGCCCACCAGCCTCTGCCTGACGCTGTCCCCGCCGCACCCTCTGACCCCACACAGCCCGGCCTTCGCAAGTCTGTTCTCTGCCCAGAGCGCCGTGGCGGGTGCTGATGACACACGGCGGGGAAAGTGGGCAACGTTTCCACCCGCATACGGCTCACAGGCCTTCCTGGCCTGGCCCGCACACTCCTGGGAGCGCGTTAAAGCCAGTGTCACTTCTTCCTCGAGGCACCTCTTGATGGGCTCTACTTTCAGTTCAGTTCGGGTGCCCTCCCTGGCCCTCCCTGGCCCTCCCTGGCCCTCCCTCCGTGTGACCTTGGGAGCTGGCCAGGCAGTTCCAAGTGGGGGAGGTAAGAGCACCTCCCAGACCAGAGCCCTCCAAGGTGGTTCGGGACCGACACGCCGTGAACAGAGGTCTGTGCCCTGGAAGTCTCACCCTCTCTCTACCCTGCCCCTGTGCCCCGCCTCCTTCACCCCTGGATAAAGGAGGCAGGCTTGAGAACAGAACCGGGTCTGGAGCCGGCCACGGGCTGGAATCCTGGCACCAGGGCTACCCGGCCTGGAGTCTCCATTTTTTTTTTTTTTACCTACCTATTGGGACGGGCACCCTCCTGGCAAGGTGGTCAAGTTAGAGAGACCCCTCGTGTGGGGGGCCGAGCAGAGCGGCGCTCGGAGGCTCAGGCAGGACGGTAACAGCGCCCTCCTGACTGGTGAGGCCCAAACTGCTTCCCCGGCCCCGTCTCCCAAGGGACAGGGAATCTGGGCAGCATGCCTCAGTTTTTGTTTTCTCTCTTTTGAACCCCAGCTGCCCCCCTCAGTCCCCATGCCACTCTGTCTCCCTGGGTCTCAGCTGTCCCATCTGAAAAATGGGCACAACGTGGGGGCGGGGCTTGCCAGTTTGCAGATGCTGCTGCCGGCAGAGCAACTGGTTCGATTCCTGCCTCATCCACCTACCAATCCTATGCTCTTGGTCAGGTGAGCTGCCTTCTCTGTACCTCAGTTTTCTCATCTGTCCAGTGGGAATAACATCCCCTTCCACGTGGGGCGGGAATGGAGCCCAGGAGAGGCGCGCTGAGAAGACAACAGGAGGAGATCTCAGCCAGCTGGGGCGGGTGAGGCGCAGTCTGGAGAGGAGGGGCGCGCTGGCCTATGGGAGGGTCTGGGGGACTCTTCCAGGAGGCCTCCTCACCTCCCCTCTCGGCCTTCCCTGAGAGCTACCAGGGGCTCAGGCTGGGCTGAGCCCAGACAGCCGAGGGGTCCCTTGGAGAACTGCCCAGCAGGCGGCAGTCCGGCCAGCTTTTATTCTCTGTCGCCCCCAGCCTCGCCCTGCCCCCAGCTTGGCCTCTCTCCCAGCCCTGCCCCTGCCACCTGGGAGCCAGACTGATAATCCTTCTTAGTGGCTAAAAATATCCTGGGACTGGAGGAAGAGCGAGGTTAGAGCTCTGCTGACATGGGGCCAGGGATGAGGAGAGGATCGTGGCCTCCCCTCCCCCCGGAATCCGGATGAGCACACGAGCACTCCTGATAGCCGCTGCTCCCCTGAGCCAGACCCCCGGTGCGGCGCAGCAGAGCAGGGCCCTGCACACAGGTTCTTTTTGTTGTGTCTTAAAATCTAGCCGGAAATGTAGGACTTACCCAGGTTGTGAAAAAGGAACAAAATTCAGATCCCAGATGTCTGGACTGCTGGGGACACGCACGCACGCACGCACCCGGCACACTCGGGCCTGGCCCACTGCCTGGGGTCACCTGACTCCTGCGGCTGGAGCCGAGGAGCACATGATGTGCCAGGCAGGGGTTATTTGCAGATAACCACAGCAGCCCTGGCTGGGCCCAGCTGTCCCTCCAGACGGCCCTGGCTGCCCCTCACTTGGCTCCTTTGAGCAGGTCACCACGGCGGGCTAATGACCAGGGCTACAGCTGGCCCTCGGGACCATCGTGCTGCTCCCCAGTCCGGGGTTTGGCCTCCTCCAGCCTCTCACAGTCACGCAGCACCTCCCGGTTCCGTCAACAGTGGGCTGCACAGACCCAATACCCGCTTTGCCACATACGCAGGCATAGTTAGGTAATTACTCTCCGTGATGTTCCCACAATGACAAGATCACACCACAGCACACTTGTGCGAACATACCCTTCCCTCACACTCTGACCCTGCTGCTACAGGCTCTACTCCCACCAGCTCAATTCCCTGCAAGGGCTGCCGCAGGCCTGGCTCCTTCCTGCGCCAGGGCCTTTGAATGTGCCGTTTCCCCATCACAGCCTGTGTCTAGCTTGGTCTCATCACTCATATCCCAGCTCAAATGCTGCCTCCTCAGAGAAACCTTCTTAGGCCACCGCCAGAGAAGGCCATGGCTTCATTCCACCTCACCCTGTTCATCTCTTCAGCCCTGTTCTGCCTCTTGATGCTTTCTTGTCTGCCTCACTCCAAGGCATAAGCCACATGGAGGCAAGAATGCTGTTTAGTCCCCGCTGTGTCCTTCAGCCGGGCCTGGCACCACATCAATGGCCAACTAACTGTTTGCTAAGTGGACGAATGAGTGACTGTAAAACAAGCCATGAGCAGGTATGTGGATGTGAGAACTTTCGTTCAGGTGGTGGAACTTCCTAGAAATTAAAGAAATCACCCCCTTTAGCAGTCAAGGACATCTTGATGCCTGTGAAGTAGGTTCCTTGTCCACCTACTTTGGAGCTGAGATGACAGAGGCTCAGAGTAGGAGGCAGCTCAAAAAGCCACACTGGATGCAGGTGACCCACTCAGCCGAGGAGGGGCCAGTGCTGGAGGTCACAGGCTGGGAGGGCACCTCCCACCAGCAGGCTCTGCTGATGCTGCCCCAGGCCACAAGTTCCTACTCCTACTCCTAAGGGAGTGTCCCCAGCTACCCCCAGCCAGCAGCGCCTCCTCAGTCTGCTCTTCAACCTCCACCTACTCACCTGGCTGCATCTGCTCAGAATCATTCTTGGTAACCGCCCCCACTTCCCATTTGCCAAATAAAAGGCCCCCCAGGCAGGCCATGGAGCTGGCTGGGCCTGGGGCTGGCTGCCACCCGCCCTCCAGAATCTGCAGCTCTACTTCTGCCCCCCCCCCACCCCCACCCCGCACTGTCCTTCATCCAAGTATGGGGGTTCACAAAAATCTTCCCTCCAGTGGTCCAGCCTCCAGGTCTTTGCATCAGCTGTGCCAACTTCTGGACCTGCTCCTCCCTCTCCCACCCACAGGGCCAGTTCCTACCAGTCTGGGATCAGATTAAATTTCCCTACTTAAGAGACCTTCCCTGCACTTCCCACCTTCAGCAGAGCCCCCTCCCCACCCCTCCCCCCAGGGCCTCTGCAGTTTTTCCAGTTCTGGATCCTCCCAAGCACCTTAGGTACAGGCTGGCTCCATCTCCCTTTGCACAGAGAGGGCCAGGCCAGAGAGAGACCTCTGTGGCCCCTAGTATCACCGTGTGTGTGTGTGTGTGTGTGTGTGTGTGTGTGTGTGTGTGTGTGTTGGAGTGGAAGGAGGCACTTAGGGAGGTGTCAAGAGAGGGAAGAGAGAGGATCAGGTATCTGAAAGTTTGAGGGGGTAAATGACCAGTCCCAAGGTGGAGGGGAAAGTTGTTGGGTGGGAGGATCTGATTGTTACCTGCACAGGGATTGATTAAGCACACAGGTGAGAATGTAAGAGGCATTCACTTGAACTATTACAATTAAAAAAAAACAAAAATGGTATCATCAAGACACAAGATACCACTTGTTTAAAGTGTGTGATTCAATGCATTCTGACATATGTACATAGCTGTGAAATCATCACCTCAAACAAGATAATAAAAATACCCATCATTTCCTGAAATGAGTCCACAGTGGTTAATTGCTTGGTAAATTTCCTTGTGCTCCTTACTCCCTCTCTATCTCCTGGTAAACCCTGGAAGCAACCCTGATGTTTGTTCTATAGCTGGGGATCCGAAACCCCAGGATTCTATACTATGAAATATTACATAAGAGATTAAAAGGAACAGGAAGATACAATATGGATGAACGTTGAGGACATTATACTCAGTGAAATAAGCCAGTCTATAAAAGGGTGGATACTGGACTCGGACAATCCACTTACAGGGGGGTCTGGAGAGTCATCAGCACCATAGAGACAGGAAGGAGAAGGTGAGTGCCAGGGCTGGGAGGGGATGAGGAGTTAGCGTTGAATCTCAGTCAGGAAGAGAAGAAACTTCTGCAGACAGCTGTATTCACTTCACGGTGTAACTAAGCCATGTTCAATAGTGCACTTAAAAATGGTTAAGATGCTACATTTTAAGTTACGTGTATTTTATCACGATTAAAAATTTAAATTTTTTAAAGATTATTTATTTATACAAGCACTAGGTACAGTCAGAAGGGCGGGAGGGTGAGAGAATTCGCCAGAGTGGGGAACAGAACAGGCAGACAGATGAAATACACTGCTGAGGGGAGCAGCGGGCGGCAGGAGAGGTCTGTTGCGCCATGTGGGACCCTCGCCAGTGGCCAGGAATCAAACTGGCACTGCAGAGGCTGCGGGCAGCTTCGCAGCCCAGCGCTCAACCGCTCTGCCACCAGGGGAGGCCCAAAAATTTTAATTTTTTTTGTAAAATATTAACAAAGTCGGGATTGGGGGAGAGAAGGAAAGCCATACTCTCTGACACAGAGGGCCATTGAGCTAAAAAAATAAAAGCAACATGTAGAGAAACACCGATGACCTGACATGCAAATTGCACAAACGAAATCACTTCTGCTTTGGTAATTGTAGAGTTAGCAGCCATCAGACCAACTTTCCAGAGATGATGATGATGTCTGGACTGCAAAGAAAAAACAATTACCTGAATTTGTTGCTTTGATGTTGCAATGTCCAATGTAGTAGCCACTAGCCATATCTATCTATTCAAAATCGAATTAAAAACAATGCAAAATTCAACTTTTCAGTGGCACTAGGATCATTTCTGTAGTTAGTCACAAGAGATTTGTGGCTATCATACCAAGCAGTGCATCACTGCAGAAAGTTCTGCTGGGTGGTACTATGTAAAAGAGTGACCCAAATAGGCAGAAATTTGACAAGAGTCTATCACTGAAAGAAGGAAACTGCACAAGGTGTTGACAGTTTTTATTGCAACACCTTGAAAATGTGTTCACTGGAGGTAGCAGCTAGCTTGAAAAACGAGAAGACAGAGCCCAGAGAGGCTGCAACAGTTTAGCAATGAGATAGAACAAGTAGGAAAGAGTCAGAAATAGGAAGCTCTAAATTCTACACAACCACTGCAAGGCTCTTGCTAACCCTTGAACCATGAATGGGCAGGGCAGACTCCAACCAGCACAGCTATGGCTGAAAGAATGATACTGACCCAACAGAATCTCTGGCCTTAAATATTTTTCAACTGACATTTTAAAAAAATATTTAAAACAAACCAACAAATATCAAGCAAATTTTTTTACATGAGAATCTCACTGAATTAGATACCACTTACTCAAAATTTGTAATAAGAAAAGAGACATACGAACAGACCTATAAGAGTGAGAACAAAGCATGTAGATCTTTTGTTCCTGTCCACCAGAGTAGGCTCTGTATAAGCAGAAGGAAATAAGAGAGTGAAACTGAGATTTCACCAACCACCCACCACAAGGAAGTAGACTTTGAAGCTTGATTCCAGACTGGTTCATTGCTTGATAAAAAATAAATTAAGAAACAAATCAATTATCTTCTGAGCAATACAACAGAATCCAGAGTCCTGCAACATATCTTGTGCAATGTCCAGAATATAGTCCAAAATTACTTGACATATGAAGAAACAGAAAAGCATGACTCATCCTCAAGAAGAAGAATGGGGACCGACCCTAATTAGGTGACTCAGATTTTGGAATGAACAGATAAGGACTTTGAAGCTGCTATTACATGTATTTTCAAGGATGTGAAGAAAAATTAGCTTCAAATGAATGAAAAATAAGAAACTTCAGCAGAGAAGTGAAAAATGTAAAAATGAACCACATGAAAATTCTAAAATGGGAAAATATAATATTTGAGATAAAAATGTCACATGTGGGCTTGATAGCAAATCAGAGGTGACAGTCAATACATTTGGAGATAGATAATTGCAAACATCCAAACTGAAGAGAAGAAAAAAATTAAGACTATAAAAACATACATCTGGGAATGGAAAATGGAGATAGTTGCACAACATTGTGAACATAATGCTTCTGATTTCACGTTAAAAATGGTTAAAATGGTAAAATTTTATGTTATATATTTTGCTACAATTAAAAAAAATAGATGGTCTCAGTAACTTTTGAGGCAATACCAAAAGATCTAACATGCATGTAATTGGAGAGCCAAAGAAGAAAGAAGAGATTCTCACAGAATAATATTTGAAGAGACATTACCAAAGGGTTTCTGTGCTTGTCCAGGGCGACATATGTGCATATAAACATGCAGAAAAATGGTGTAAGGACATCTGCCACACTTTTTCTTTTTTTTTTTAAAAGAGATATTTATTTTTATACAAGAACCAGGGTACAGCCCAGATGCGCGGGAGGGTGAGAAGATTCACCAGAGACAGAGCAGAACACAGAACAGGCAGACTGACGAAATACACTGCTGAGGGGAGCAGCGGGCGCGACAGGAGA